CTCTCTCTCTCTCTCTCTCTCTCTCTCTCTCTCTCTCTCTCTCTCTCCCCCTTTCCCTGTGTACAGGTTTTAGCTAGCTTTGCAAATAGAGACATGCGTTTAGTAAGCAGCTCCTTGATCATAACTGGTTTGGGAAGAGATCAAGGCAAAAACAGGAGTGGGAGAGAGAGAGGGAGGGAGGGAGGGAGGGAGGGAGAGAGAGAGAGAGAGAGAGAGACAGAGAGAGAGAGACAGAGAGAGACAGAGAGAGACAGAGAGAGAGACAGAGAGAGAGAGAGAGAGAGAGAGACAGAGACAGAGACAGAGACAGAGACAGAGAGAGAGGCAGGCTAATCACTTGAATAAACCTATTGCCAAATGCTTCATTCAAATCATTACAGTCAATCTGATTTGTTAATAAAGGCGGGATCCAGAAACTAATATAAATAACAGGAACTCTCTAAAGTCAGACCCAGAAATATAGACCCATTCAGTTTCATTTGCTTTAAGCCTAAGCCAGTTCCTTCCTATCCTAACAACCTTCAGACGCATGGACAAAATCTTGACATCATTACTTGGCTGGCACAATTAAAAGACAGAACTGGGTAGCATATCATACCATGTTGGTGATGCCCTCATCCAGAAAATTCATGTAGCTGTTAAACAGAAGGGAGGTGTGTGTCAAGTCCTGAGGTACCCCACAATTCAAGGGCTTTAGGTTTGACCTCTTCCCCGCCCCTGTAGCAGCAGCTGAGACTAGCCATGAATAAAGGAGAACCATCACAATATTGGGTCTCCCACTGTCAACCCCTACAGATGGTCTAGAAGTATGCTACGATCAACAGTATCAAAAAAACACAGAGAGTTCAAGAAGAATGCAACCTATTTCATTAGTTCTACCATAGGTCTTCAGAGAAATCAGACCTGTCCCAACTCCCTCATTTTAGGGAGACCTCCTGATCAATTTTATGTTTGGATGCTGAGCCTCTAAAAGAGAAATGAAGAATGTGGGCCCAGGATCACGTGTAATTTGTCAATATCGTTTTCATGGCTCGCAGAGCTCAACGTATGGAAAGATAATTACAGAGGGGTGGGGTTAAGCTATGAGAACTCCCCCCCATTTGATCCCTTTAAATGGCACAACCCAATCGAGCAGGGGTGTCAAACTCAATGTCATCGAGGGCCGCATCAGGGTTGTGTTTCACCTCGGGGTGTGTGTGCTGGGAGCGGGTGTGGCTGTGGTGGATGTGGCCAAGATGGGCATGGCCAGCTCGATGTCACTTGTGTTGAGGGCATCTGTGATGCCCAAGTGCTAAGGCAGGACTTCCCTCAGACCCTCCCTCCCTCTTATTATAATCTCCCTTCCTTCCTTCCTTCCTTCCTTCC